CTGTTCAGGTTACAAAGTTTGTACCATACTCATAAAAATCGTTTTGTACATTTTGTATAGGATTGGTTTTCACAAAAAGTACATGACAGATATGAAGATTATTTTTTTTTCTTATCTTTCCAAAAAATTCACAAACGTTAAAAATAGGTGCTGTTATCTGATATGCTATAAGGGGGGGGGTCAAGAGGGAGGTAAAAAGGCGGGAAAAAACACTGGGTCAATTGTACCCTTTGAACACTCGGTACGGCAGAGGTTAGCCAATCTCTCTCTCTATATATATATGTATATGAAAGAAAAAACTGGCGTACCTTTGCATACATCTTGTACAGGGAAAATCACCTGACATCATGGTGGAAATGCGTTGCTCTTTTGAACATTGGTGAGACAGACACAGACATTCACATTCAGTAAATTACATACGAACACATCCGTCTCGTATATATTATTAGACTTCTATGCCTCTCTCTCCTCTAGGTTCATGACCTAAAATACATCAACGTAGAGGTGTAAGGATTTCAAACATCAAACTTCAAGAAAAAGGAAACAGTTGGTATTTATATACTGGATCTTTGGGTACGGTCACTCACGCACAGGCTCACAGTGTTACCATACCGGCAAGAAAACTAACGTCTTATTTAACCCCACTTTTCATTACGTCAAGTGAACAGGATAAATCTTGGGGAGGAATTATCAATTTGAATCCCCTTTTTTATCAAGAAATTTAAAAAAAAGAAACGTTTATAATAATCATCATAACGGTGATGTAATATTTTTTTTTTTTTTTTGGTAATTCATAATTCATAATTATACAGTGATTGAATTCCACATGTAGTTTCATTTTATTTTCTCTTCTTCTCTGCGGCTTTATCGAGCTTTATCAGTTTTACATCTAGGCCCCCTTTCGTTCCAAAATCACACCCGTTCCGTTTCTTCCCCTCGTCTCGATCCCTGTGAACAAACCAATGAACAAAACCCTTTGAACGCAAACCCAAGCACGGGTCTTTTGAACGAATCTTCCAGAAAAAAAAACACGTGTTCGAACAGTAAATAGGTTAGTCGTTTTTTTTCATTCGTGATCTTAAAAAATAATTAAATAAATAAATAAATAAAATGTGGAAGGTTGTGTCGATACGTGATAACAAGATGATAATAATAATAATCACAGAATCAGATTCGAGTATTAGATCGCAAAATTGAATAATAATAATGATAATAATGATAATAATTATGATAATGATGACAATAATAATAATATTAACAGTAACAACAATATTGATGATAATAATAATGATAATAATAATAATAATAATAATGATAATAATAATAATAATAATAATAATAATAATAATAATAATGATAACAATAACAACAATAATAATACCAATAACAATGCTTCAATCACGAGAGTTCTCCATCAGGTCACGAAATCAAAATACTCGAGTCCACCATTCTCTTCTAAAAAGACCGAATGTTCACAATCACAATCACAATCACAATCCTGATCAGCTGGCTTCCTCTCCCCCTAATCGCTAACTGGCTGGCTGGCTTGTTGGGTCTTTCTCTCCCCCCTAAAAAAAAATGCGCGCCATTTTTTCTTGTAAACTTCATAAAACGAGACACCTTTTCATGGGTTATTTCTCTTCCCCATGAAAAAAATCGCGCCTTTTTTCTTCTTGTAAACTTCATAAAAACAAGACACCTTTTCATTACGTATATGGTTCATACAGTAGATACTACTGACCTAAACTCTATTGGGACTTAAGTTACAATCGTATACCATGCACTTTACAGTATAGTTAGAACGTATATTAATAGTAATTTTGTAGACTACCAAATATTCGTATACATGAGTAGTGTCAAAGGCCTTACCGATAAAGTAAAAAAGAAATTAAAAAAACACCGGTAATAGATGTTGTTTTGTTTTTTGTAAACTTTTATACATAGTTTTTTTTTTTTTTACAATTGAATCCAATTCTTTTTAACGACCTGGACATCCGACTGTCATTTGTTTATACGGTTTCATGGTCGTGAGGAGTATTTTCAGATTTACTTCCCCTATATTTTGGGGGATGGGAGGGAGGGTGCGTAGTGAAGTGGAAATGTGCATAGAGAGAGAGAGAGAGTGAATTAGAGAGAAAAATCACATATAATATGGCATCTTATGTCTTCTTTGAAAAGTAACCCAAAAGATCTACTGAGGTAATTTACAGTTATTGGGAATATATAGAGTTAGGTAGAGACAGGGAGAGAGGTAGATAGATAGATGGATGGATAGATAGAGATAGATAGATAGAGAGAGAGGAGAGAGAGAGAGAGAGAGAGAGAGAGAGAGAGAGAGAGAGAGAGAGAGAGAGAGAGAGAGAGAGAGAGAGAGAGAGAGAGAAGAGAGAGACAGAGAGAGAGAGAGAAATTTGACCATCAGAAGAGCCACTTGAAGGGCCCAAAATTGAACCCAAATGCCAATCTTCAGTCCAGGCCGAAATGCACCAATTTTTTTTTTTAGTCCATCTGTCGAACAGTGAGTTTTTAAGGGCAAGGACCCTGTGCCCGTGGAAGGGGAAATGTACAGATTTAAGGGAGCCAAAAAAAAAAAGAAGTTAATTTTGAGTGGTTCTGCTGCGTTGGTTCTGGCAGCAAAAGGACACCTCCAAGAGATTCGTGTGTGTGTGTGTGTGTGTGTGTGTGTGTGTGTGTGTGTGTGTGTGTGTGTGTGTGTGTGTGTGTGTGTGTGTGTGTGTGTGTGTGTGTGTGTGTGTGTGTTTTCTGCATAAAATTGCGTTGCTCTACAATTCCATGTTCTAGTTAATATGGCAACCTAAATGACAAAAAAAAAAGAAAAAAAAATCTACGTATTGCAAAATCTATTATTCCCGTTACCTGGAGGTGAACTGTTGCACACTGACCATACAGGAAGGTGAAGAAAGGGAAAATATATAATTCCCAGCCACGCATCCCACTCCAAAAGCCATTTTTCAAAAACGGGCTTTTCCTTCAAACAACAGAACCACATCGACCACAAAACCCTTAGGGGCATTTCACCATCTTTTTTTTGCATTTTTTTTCTCTCTTTTTTTTTAAAGTGAATCACAAATCCAATTATTCAAGTTTTACATTCCCCTATCCTAACCGGAATTTTTTTTGGAATGTCGTACAAAACAGACAAACATTTAAGTTATTCGCCAGAGATGTCAAAAATAAACTTTGAAAAGAATTACACCCAAGGTATCAAGTGTGCGGTGACCATTTATCAATAAATTTCCATCCTTTTTTTTTACCTTTATCGTGTGAATTGGCATGTTATACACAAAACCCTTTATACAAAAGAAGTTAAGAGAGGCAGTCCTTTCATAATGGTGAATAGCGAAGGGTACGAACACAAAACAAAAAAAAATTACTAGGTTACTGGCTTAAAACTGCATTTGATTCGTCACAAATATTTCACTGTAGATTAGAGCTGTTCCATCAGATCACAGTTTATAAAAGTCTATATCACAATGACGCGATATTCCCAGTGAGAGCTTGATGAGAGGCGGGCGGGGAAAGGGGATACAGGCATATTGTATATTTTATCAGCTGATATCGGGGGATACCTGGTTAATGCAATTTTTTTTATAGCTAATCTTTTGTAACTAATTTTAACCGTGATAATAAGTTGTAAATGGAGAAGGGGGGTACCTGGTTAATAGATAATCATTTCGCAACTGCTTATGAATGTGATGATGATACACAGTACCCGAATTACGACAGGCAACCCACAAATAACTTAAAAAAAAAAAGCTCCAGAATGATTATTTCCTGTCCCTCTCCGTCTTAAACCCTCCATCCACCTCAATCCTTAAAAAACCCACCCGAAAAAAAAAAATAAGGAGCGAATAAATATTATTACCCTTATTAATTTAATGCCTGGCAGTACCCCATCAACAGCGCGGCATAAACCTCATTACTCCGAAACGGAAGCTAATTTCAACACGTCCCTTGTGGTTGCCGGTAATGCCGCTCGTCTCCCTTGGAAATCCCGTCTTGCGTGCGCTCCTCTCTGTGTGTGTGAAAGAGAGAGAGAGAGAGAGAGAGAGAGAGAGAGAGAGAGAGAGAGGAGAGAGAGAGAGGAGAGAGAGAGAGAGAGAGAGAGAGAGAGAGAGAGAGAGAGAGAGAGAGAGAGAGAGGAGAGAGAGAGAGAGAGAGAGAGAGAGAGAGAGAGAGAAGAGAGAGAGTGTGTGTGTGTGTGTGTGTTGTGTGTGTGTGTGTGTGTGTGGTGTGTGTGTGTGTGTGTGTGTGTGTGTGTGTGTGTGTGTGTGTCTGTCTGTCTATCTCACACGCGCGTCGGAAACTCCAGAATTTGAATAAGTGAAAATGACTCTTTTGCCAATGTTTACCTCTTTCTATCAAAATGTACACATCCTTTTAACCTACATGTGCATCCGTATCCCTTAGCCCCGCCCCCCTCTCAAGCTCCTCCTCCCTCGTGACGTCACACCAGACATTGCGCGTCCAGACCTTCCTTTGTCTTAGCCTACAAACCCTGCCTACGTCGGGTGCTCATTTGATCCTAAAAATCAAGTCAAAATAACTTAAGGTATAGATTAAATAAACAAATTTACAGGCGGAGGAAACTTTTGAGGTTAAATACAAAGACTTCTTCAGGAATCTTACGCGTAAATATATATATCTTCCATTTTTTTTCTCGCAATAAGATAGAAGCTTAAAATATTCAAAAGTTTTCCAACCGCTTTCTTATTAAGCAATAAAATCCTAACTTACAACAAAAAAATAACCTTAAAAATAGGACCCTGTTTTTTTTTTTAAACAAACCCAGAAAAATTACTGGAGTTAGAACTATAGAAACAATTCTATTCATTGACTTTAAGATGACTAAATTCTTCTAATACGTCTGTGGTAATTAATTTAAATGAGGAAGGACAAAAAAAAAAAAATCCTTATCGAAAAAAAGAAACAAAACATATACCTGATGAGAGAAAAATAAATGAAAAGGAAAAAAGTCATATTGCAATAGTTTTTTATTATTTCTCTTTTATCAATTTGAGTGAGAGAAAAACGAAACAAAAAAAGATGTTGCAGAAACATCACAACAGTTATCATAATATAAAATGATAATATAAAATAGATAATAAATAATTGTTCACAGGTAACAACACACGTACAAAAAAATTAACGAAAGGAAAAGAAAAGAAGAAAAAAAAAAGAAAAAAAAAATATACACGTCGATCTTTCTGAGCAAGCCAACGCAAGATTCTTTCAACCCGGGAGCAAGTTTTGGCCGTCGCCCGAACGCATCTCAGGTCAAGCCGAGACTCTCAAAGGGTTGTGACCGTTTTTTTTCTCTCTTGTTTTCCTTGTTCTATATCCATCTACTATCTATTTATTCTTCAGTTGACTTCTCTGGACTAAATAAGTGTGTTTTGGTGGAGAGAGAGAGAGAGAGAGAGAGAGAGAGAGAGAGAGAGAGAGAGAGAGAGAGGAGAGAGAGAGAGAGAGAGAGAGAGAGAGAGAGAGAGAAAGAGAGAGAGAGAGAGAGAGAAGAAGAGAGAGAGAGAGAGAGAGAGAAGAAATCACCACACCCTTTTCCAAAGAGCCTCGACTTGCTAGGTTTTCGACCTTCCAAAACCGTACCTACACATATATACGTTCAGAGATGCGCTGGCATAATCTCTCGTTTCTTCTGCTTTACTTTCTTTATCAAGCTTCCTAAGCTTAATTAGAACAGTGATGATGCTTACAGTGAGACACACCCCGAATGTAAATCATAAGGTAATATATATCTTTTTTTGGTCATTTTTTCGTATCTTTTTCCTAGCCAAACAGATATCAGTGCCGCCAAAAATTCCATCTTCAAAAAAAAAAAAAAAAAAAAAAAAAAAAAAAAAAAAAAAAAAATTGAAACGTGAATAAACCTCAACTTTTGGGCCAAAAAACCTTAAACTCTAAATCGATGTATTTCTTTCTCCACAGTTGTATCATACAAAGTTCTTACGAGTAAATGCAAAAAAGATTTCGGATATTTTTTTTTTTTTTAGTTTTAGTTTTTATTTGTTTTTCTAAATGGTTGGGATGTTGTTGTTTTTTTTTGCTTTTTTTTTTGCCTTGATTGAGTCGTTAGTCGTTAGGCATTTGTTGTTTTTTTTCTTCTCAAAGGGAAAAAAAAGTAAAAGCGATTCATTAGCAGAATTAAGAAAAAAAGACTTTTCTTAAGCTAACGGATTTTCGCAGGAAATTGAAAGAAGTCTGCATCTAATTCCTTATCAAATGCATTACTCCCTCCATCTCATCTTCTCCCTTTCCCTTTCGAAAAAAAAAAATCGAAAAAAACAACTTTAAAAAAAATGTTACTTTTTCCCTTCTCTTTCTATCATGCCACGCACAACTTTCTCATACAAAAAAAATGTCCTTATTTTCATCTCTTTCCCTATTCTTTCTCTCTTTTTTTACTTCCCTCGTCCCTTGCGACAAGAGCGAGAGGGAAGAGCCACCACAGAGGGCCAACAGACAAGGGAGGGAGTGCCACTTGGCTCCCGGCGGCTTGGCACTTTCCTCATTTTATTTTTCGTTTTATCATCACAGAAAAGTCTCACAGGGTTTCGTTCTATCAATCGCGTTATGAATCTCTTTTTTCTTCTCATTTTGGTGTTTTATGCTTTATTTCATTCACCTTCATTCGCTGGGGCAAATTATTGGTCTCTCCTTTCACTATCGAGCCAAAATGGTGTCTTGAAAGAAAGACGAAAAAAAAAAGTTTTTTGAAATCATACATGAAGTTAGAAATATCAAATTTTTATTATCATCACCGGTATTACTTTCTTTCTTCTTTTCTTTTAAATATCTTTCCTTCCTTCCTTATTTTCCTCCAGACCGCATTCAGGATTTCCTCTTTTTTTGTTAAAGGGGGAGAGGACTGGTAAATTTCCCTTTTTCCTGAACAAAGTCAATCTTAACTACAGTTTTTGTGGGGGAAAATGGCCGTCCGTGCCTGATTCCATACCACTCGTATACTCAAAAATGGATGTTCTATTATCTACCATAATATCATACACGCTGAAATATAACATAATAAAAAAAACACAACAACAACTTATAAACATCATTCTCACATTAGTGTCCATACTAGAACTATGCATTCATAAAGAAAGTAAATCTGAACATATATAATTTATAATTCTGATCGTATACTATTCTGTACCGTAGCAGGTCCACCCATATCTTTTGGGAGGTCCTCGTATACAAAGTCCTTGGTTTAGGTGAGGTATTTTAGTATACATCAAGAGCAAGTAAAGACTGCATACTTACAACTATGGATACATTCTCTAAATCTTGAAAATCGTGAGTAACACATGGGGTACATTTTGATTACCACGGCTTCACACAGACGAGTCAAGACGGCACAGGAGAAGGTAGGGTGGTGGGGAGGGGGAGGGGGAGTGGGGGGCAACTGCCTTTTCCACCTCGGGAGGGAGGGAGACAGACAGACGTATTGCAGACAGACCCGTCTCGATCGACACTGCGTCTTTTTTTTCCCATTTCTTCGTCTCAACTTTCCTCCTGTCGCTCCCGCTGGCTTCGGCCCCCCTGGCCCTGCCCCGCGTGCCGCCTCGACCTATCCGTCACTCTTAAGGGTCTTCCCGAAACGTCCAACACTGGGAGACACTCACAGACAAAAGACTAAGTCGACTTCTCCCGCTCGGACTCAAGGAAAGGACAACTCTCGGGCGGCGGCTTCCAACCCGTCTTGCTTGCGATGTGGCTGGCTTGCGACTCGCTTGCCTGTGGAGGAGCTCGGTAATGCCCTATGTGACTACCCTCTCTCACGTCACTCCTCCTGCGTGCCGAGGGGGAATCACTGCCTTCAAGCACGTGGCCAGCTCACTTCTGTCCCTTACAAGCAAGACGTGTTCGCAGGCGCCCGTTCTAACACTGTGTGAGCCGTTGAAAGGCGGGAAATAACCTGAGGTGAGCCCACCAGTAGACGCTGAAGGCAATCCGGAACTGCAGTCGGCGGTGGCGCTAAGGGCAAGTTCTGCTTCGGTTCGAGCTCCTTGCGAGACCGGACGTCGCCTTCAACCCCCTGAGGACTAAGAGAGGTCACAACCCTTGCTGGAGGTCAGTTCCTCGACGGGAGACGAACTACTGAGACTGACTGGTCCTCGAGACGACCTCCAGATAACCTGAGTGCAATGAAGATGGCGCTGGCTGCGAGGCGCGAGCCCGAGGGCGGCCCGGCCCAGCGCTGGCCATTTGAACTACGTGCCTCGGCGCCGGCGGGCGGGACGCGGCGCTCCGCCTGCCCCGCCGCCGCTTAGGCCCGCTCCTCGATCTCGGCTCGCTTGGGCAGGAGCGACTCCGTGTCGGTGAGGTCGAGGGGCTTGGCCGAGGACTCCCCGGCGCCGTTCTCGTACATCTTGCGTCCGACGAGCGAGAAGGAGCCGAGGGCCGGCGTGGAGCCCGGGGTCGGCGAGGAGGACTCGTCCTCGTCGTCGATGACCACGGGGGCGCCCGAGGCCGAGTGGTCGTCGTCGTCGCTGGTCGCGCTCTTGTGGTGCCTCTTGTCGTGGTCCGGGAGGGGCGGGTCTCTGGCGTCCCTGGCGTCCCTGGGCGGCGGGTCGTGGTGCTCGGGCGGGGCGTGCGTGTCGGCGGTGCTGGTCTCCAGGTCGGTGCTCGAGGGGGAGGGCTTCTTGCTGGGCATGCGGCGGGGCACGGTGCTGATGCCCATCTTCTTGATCTTGTCGTACAGCGTTCGGGAAGGAACCTTGTACTTCCGCGAAGCCTGAAACAAATAATTCGTAAATTTCTCCGGAATATGACTACCTGGCAGCCCCGTGCTCCTCTCGCCTCCAAGCACTTCTCTGCTCTGTTTCAGCCCTAGTGAACTCTTCGACTCTACTTTGCGCTACGCTCATTACTCAAAGTCTACTCTACGCTAATCCCCTTCCATTCCATGCATTCCCTCCCTTCTTCTTCCCGTAGTTGTTCCTCCTCCTGCTCCTCCTCCTCCTCTTTCCCCTCTGATCCCCCTTCACCATCACCCTCCCTCACCCTCCCTCCCATCCCTCATGAACCCCAAGACACCCACCCCCCCCTACCTCCCTCCCATCATCCCACCCTCCCTCCCTCCCTATCCTTCCTTCCTCTCACCTGCAGCGCCGTCATGCCACTCCGGACGGCTTCGATGGCATCCATGAGGTCAGTCTTGGTATACTGCTTGTACCGCTTCCACTCCGGCTTGGGCGTGGGCACGTAGCTGACGAAGTTGCTGTAGTGGGAGGGGCCGTTGGGGTCGATGTGGTACGGGTTGAACTCAGGCAGGAGGGGTCCGTTGGCCAGCTGTTGCGAAAGAGAAGGGAAGGGTGGTTTTAATTGTCGCTTGATTGGCTGTTTATGCGGATCTGCCTCCGCTTCGATCGCGCGCTGGTCTGGTGTCGAAATGGAGGCTTTGGTCTTGTGGAATCGAGAGAGATTTCTCTTTTTTTCTTTTTATTCTTCTTTCGATGAAATTTCAAGAAAAAGCTAAAGAAAAGGAAAATCTAACAGTTATCCTGATTTCAGATCCCTTTACGGCGAAGCAAAGACAAAAATCTTCTCCAGAAACAATACTCAAAATCCTCATTCAAAAAAACAGTCCAAATAACTGGCATCAAGCAATGACCCGTCACAGCGACACCGAGACATGACCGGTCCAGTGACATCGGTCCTACTCGAAGCCGAAGCCAACTACTCACCGATTCGATCTTCGACTTTTCCTGTTCGTCCTCGCGCGAGATATCGGACATGGAGCGGGATTCCTCGTCGTGCTGTTCCTTCTTCAGCGACAAACTGTACGGAGACTGAGGAGGGAGAGAGAGGGTTTTAATACCTATTAGAACGAAGTTAGAACGGAGGTTTTATTTATCTAATTTATCAGGAGTCATATCAGTTATTATAAGTAGTCGTTTCACTTATTTATTCAATTTCTTTTATCTTTCTAGTTAAGGCTAATAGACTCTTCCATCTTTGCCACTATCTATCGTCAATAGACGGGCGGCGGCGGGCCCTTACCTCGAGGTGGTCGCGGTGGTCGTGGGGCAGCAGGTGGGGCACGTGCGAGCTGAGGAGTCCGGGCAGGGGCATCATGGACGAGGCCCAGGCGGGAGCCGTGGCCGGGGGCGGTGCGGAGGATGGGCGTGGGCGAGAGCATGGGTTCGGGCAGCATCTGCGGGCGCTTGCGCTTGTGGGGCGGCGAGTCGGGTCCGGGCGGCGCCAGGTGCGGCACGGGCGAGATGAGCGACAGCGGCGGCCGCGGCGGGTCCGAGTCCAGGCTGCCGGGCGTGTGCACGTCCCTCGGCTCGTGGGCGTCGCGCGGGTCCCTCAGGGCGTCGCGGTGGGCGTCTCTGAGCGATTCTCTGTGGGCGTCGCGGAGGGGCTCTCGCAGGTGCTCTCTCAAGTGGTCCCTCAGGTCGCGGGCGTCGCCGCGCAGGTCGAGCTCACGGGCGTCTCTGTGGTCCCTGAGGTCAGGGCGGGCGTCGCGGAGGTCGGGCGCGGGGGGCGGGGCTGGGGCGGTGCAGGGGGTGGCCGGGCGGGGGCAGGGGGTACAGGGGGGGCGTGGGCGACGAGGCGCGCACCTGCTCGTGGCTCGACACCGACAGAGGGGCGGGGCCGGACGCCGAGGTGGGCGGCTCGACCCTGGAGCGCGGCGGCAGGTCCTGGAGGGCGCGGGCGTCGACGGGCGTGGAGGGCGGGTGGGAGGCTTCGTGCGGCGGCGAGGGCGGGCGGAGGGCGGCGTTGGTCTCATTGCCGAGCTCCTCGACGAGCCCCTTCACCTTGAGGCTCTCGGCCACCCGCAGGAGGCCCTGGAGGGCGTCGTGCTCGATGTTGACCTCCCCGCGGTACATGTACTCCAGCAGCGCCCGCATGTCGCACGCCCGCACGTCCTTCAGCACCACGATGGGGTGGTTGGCCGTGTGGGCGTTGACGAAGAGCGCCTGGAAGTAGGAGGAGCATGCGGCGAGGACGAGGCGGTGGGCGTGGAGCGTGGCGCCGTCCTCGCACGCCAGAGTCACGTCCGTGAAGGCCTCGACGTGCAAGAGCTGGTCGAAGGCGGCCAGGAGGTTGTTGCGGTGGTTGTTCCAGCGCAGGCAGTACTGCGACGAGGTCCCCATGGCGCCGTAGCCTCCCTGCGGGCGAGAGAGGGAGGCGTAAGTGGGGGCGGAGAGGGAAGGAGGGGAGGGGATAAGGAGAGAGGGAAAAAGGGAGGGAGAAGGACGAAGGAGGCGAGAAAGCGAAGGGGAGGGAGAAGGAGCGAAGGAGGGAGGGAGAAAGGAGCGAAGGGAATAAGGGAGAAGGAGCGAAGGGGAAGGAGGAGAAGGAGCGAAAGGGAATCAAGGGAAGGAGAGAAGGAGCGAAAGGGAATAAGAGGGAAGGGAGAGGAGGGAAGGGAATAAGGGGAAGGGGAGAAGCGGAGAAAGGGGAAAGGGGAAGGAGAAGAGGAATGGAGGGGAGGGAAGAAGGAAGGAGAATAAGGGGGATGAGAAGGAGGGAATAAGGGAGAGGGAGAAGGAACGAAGGGGAATCAAGGGAAGAGAGAAGGAACGAAGAAGAATCGCAAGGGAGAAAAGTCACTGAGAAATGAGATAACGAAAAGGCAAAGAGAAGTAAAATCAAAGAATAATGAAATAAAGAAACTGCTCTTCAGGAAGTAAGCAAAATATAATAAGGGGAAAATCGCAGTACATATTTGGAATAATTGAACAATAATTATTAATATGGTAACGAAATACTCCTGATAAAGATAAGGGTGACGTCAGTAAAGACTTCTTATCTAAAACTGACGATTGATGACCAATGATAATGATGAAGACGGTAACAAGAGTAACAGTAATAATAAGAATAAGAACAACAACAATAATAAAAAATAAAAACAACAACAATAAAAAACATAATAAAAACAAAACAACAATAAAAAAAATACGATAAACAAATTTCAACTAAATCCCCAACAACAATAACATTTAGACATCAACATCAACAATAATAAACGATAATAACGTTATCATGTTGACCTTCAGGTTCGGGTAAATCACCCTTGTTGCTTATCACACTCTTGAGCCGGAAGTGGATCGACTTATTACTTCAGAATTTTCTCGAAAGTGTTGCGAAAGAAGGAGATTTGGGGCCGAATGCGAGATAAGGGTAGGAAGTGAGAAAGGAGGAGAGATAGAGGAAGGAAGGATGGATAGGAGGATGGGGGAGAAGTGGAGGAAGGAAGGATGGATGGGAGGATGGGGGAGAAGTGAGGAAGGAAGGATGGAGATAGGGAAGAATGGGGGAGAAGTGGAGGAAGGAAGGAAGGAAGGAGGAGAGATAGAGGGGGAAGGGATGGAGGAAGGGGGAGAAAGTGGAGGGAAGGGAGGAAGGATAAAGGAAGGAAAGGAGGAGAATGGGGGAGAAGAGGAAGGGAAGGGAAGGAGGAAGAAGGAAGAGGTGAAGAAGTAAGGATAAGGATGGAAGGATGGAGGAAGGATTAAAGAAGGAAGGAGGAAAGATGAAGGAAGGAAGGAATAGGGAAAGGTGAACTAAGGAAGGAAGGAAAGAAGACGGAAGAAATAACGCAGTAAAACTGGAGGAGAGGCGAAGGGAGGAAGTAAGAGATAGAAGAGAAATAAGACAACGAGGAATCAAGGAGAAGTAAGATTAAAGAAAAAAAGTTTGCCCTCAAAAAAAAAAAAACTTTTAAAACTTTAAAGGTGAGACATGACGAATCGAAAGAGGAAAAAAAAAAAATAAAATAAAAAAGTGAGAGAAAGAGAGAGATATAGACTCGCTGAAAACTCCCAAGATTTCAATTTCGACGAATGTTCTCCAAAAAAAAAAAAAAAAAAAAAAAAAAAAAAAAAAAAAAAAAAACTCACGAGAGATAATGGAGCCTTTCTGTTTACCCGAATCGCATCTTTTCTACTTTTTTCAAATAAAGAAAAAAAGAAAAAAAATATCTGTCCCTTTCTTTCTTTCTCTTAAAAAAATACTTTTCTATCTTCACGTGACATCTTAAGTCCAAGGGAGGGTGGGGAGGGAGGGAGGGAGGGAGGGAGGGGGAGGAAGAGAGGACGAGAGAAAGAAGAGCGAGGAGAGAGGGAGAGGAGAGAGGAGAGAGGAGAGAGGAGAGGAGGAGAAGAGAGGAAAGGGAGGAGAGGAGAAAGAGAGAAGAGAGAGAAGAGGAGGAAAGAGACGAGAGAGAGAGAGAGAGAGAACAGAGAGAGAGAGAGAAGAGAGAGAAGAAGAGAGAAACCCTACAAAAAAAAAAAAAAAAAAAAACAACAAAAAACATAACGATACAAATCAATCAATAATAATAATAATAATAAAAAAACACAACCAGAAAGAGAAAAGAGAAAAAAAAAAAAAAAAAAAAATTGGGAATAGTCCAACAACCCTCGTTCGTGACTCCGTGATTCCCGCCCTCCCGCCCCTCTACGCTCCCTCCCCCCCCCCCAACCCGACCGATCACACGAAGGGTAATGAAGCATGTATATTAATAACTAAAAAAAAATAGAGGAAGAGAGAGACAGTAAGGAGAGAAAGAGAGAGAGAGAGAAAAAAAAAAAAATCCCCCCACATTCCCATAGGCCGTCTTAGACCTTCGCCGCATAATCAAGCACCGATTATCATACCTCCGGCAACGCGAAATTACACCCCTACCCCCTCCGCCGGCCATAAGGGTTAAGCCCCATAGACCCCCCAAAGGAAAACCACCCGAAGAGGCGCCTCAACTCCTTGGACCAAATCGCCAGATCGCGTGAGCAGTCTGCCTATAGGCCTACCGCGGCCGTGGCAGTCACTCAATTTTCGTTTTTTTTTTCTTTTTTTTTATAATATAGGCTGTGCAGTCTGCCTATAGGCCTACCACCGCGCAGTCACTCAATTTTCGTTTTTTTTTTTCCTTTTTTTATAATATAGGGCTGTGCAGTCTGCCTATAGGCCTACCGCGGCCGCGGCAGTCATCAATTTTCGGTTTTTTTTCCTTTTTTTATAATATAGGCTGTGCAGTCTGCCTATAGGCCTACGCGGCCGCAGTCACTCAATTTTCGTTTTTTTTTTTCCTTTTTTTATAATATAGGCTGTGCAGTCTGCCTATAGGCCTACCGCGGCAGTCAATTTTCGTTTTTTTTTTTTTTATAATATAGTGCAGTCTGCCTATATAGGCAGTCACTCAATTTCGTTTTTTTTCCTTTTTTTAATATAGGCTGTGCAGTCTGCCTATAGGCCTAACTGGCAAAAGGCAGTCACTCGGCCTGTGCAGTCTGCCTATTCAGTCACTCAATTTCGTTTCTTTTTTTTTTATAATATAGGCTGTGCGCCCCGAATGGTAATTTACGGATTGGGATGTCGAGCATGTGGATGGCGTGATGGATCGCTCCCTCTCGATTCGGGTCTAATCTGCCTAATCCGCCGGAACAAACGTATTCATGTAGGTATATGTCTTATACTTGTGCGCATGTGTATAGTGTTGTGTGTGCTGTGTGTTGTGTGTGTGTGTGTGTGTGTGTGTGGTGTGTGTGTGTGTGTACAATACATATATATATACACATACCACACACACACACACCACACACACACACACACACACACACACACACACACACACACACACACAATACATAAAAAACATACATCCGGACACGCAGGCCTACAAACAAACAGACAGACAAACGCACGCACAGGCCTACAAAAGTCCCGGCAGCCGGAGCGTAATTTCTAGAAAAAGATTCCCACACGATTATCATCAAGTCGAATCGGCGGAGTGGCGGAGGAGGGAGGAGGAGGAGGAGGAGGAGGAGGGGGAGGGGGAGGAGGAGGAGGGGAGGGGGAGGGGGGAGGAGGAGGAGGAGGAGGCCTTCGTCATCAGTCATGGGGAGGCGGCGTGCATACCACACCCCTTCCCCTCCCTCCCTCCCTCCCTCTAGCTCTTCCCTCTCTCCCTCTTGCTCTCCGATCTCTATCTCTATTTTCCCCTCTCTCTATCTCTATTTCTCCCTCTCTCTATCTCTATCTCTTCTTCCTCTCTCTGTCTCTATCTCTGTATCTTTCTGTCTCTCCCACCTCGCCCTCTTCCTTCCTTACCTCCGTCCTTCTCCCTTCCTCCTCTCCCTCCCACCCCCCTCTCCCTCACTCCCCACCTCCCCCCACCCTCCCCTCCTCCCCCCACCCGGACCCCCCCTTCTCTAACCTCACTCACTCCTTGCATGACTTATCATGAACAAATTCCTGTACCGTTATTACACTGTATTTGTTAATGTCTGTAGCTGTGACGATGCTGTCTGTGTGAGAGCTTGGGTTTGTTCATTTCAATTCACTGTGTCTTCGGTTCGTGTTATTTGTGGTAATGAATGGGTATTAATTGTTTGTTTGTCTATTTTGTGAGTCAGTCAGTCAGTCTCTCTCTCTCTCTCTCTCTCTCTCTCTCTCTCTCTCTCTCTCTCTCTCTCTCTCTCTCTCTCTCTCTCTCTCTCTCTCTCTCTCTCTCTCTCTCATTGATGCCTTGCTCACTTCTCTCTCACTCTTCCATATCTTCTCAAACATATCACTTTCTTACTCTCTCTCCATCCCTCCCTCATTATACTCCATCTCTCCTCCCTCCCTCCTCCATTCTCTCTCTCTCTCTCTCTCTCTCTCTCTCTCTCTCTCTCTCTCTCTCTCTCTCTCTCTCTCTCTCTCTCTCTCTGCTTACCTCGACTAGTTTCATATCGTCCTTCCTAAGATGCGAAGGGTGAATATAATTGGCGATCTCCTTCGAAAACAACCAACTATACCAATTTCTCTCGTTGGCAAAAGCTGGCGAAAGGCTGCGACTGAAATCTTGATCAAGCATGAAGTCTGCTTGAGAAACCACGCTTGTCCGCTTGCTTGTCGTTCTTGCAGCGGTTGAGTCAGAACACTACACTGAATTTCCAAGCACGGTTACAGGATATCGAGACGTACGTGTGTACAAAAAAGTATTCCTTACTCTCTCTCTCTCTCTCTTTTGTTTCTAATTGAATAATCTCTTTAGCTTTTCCTTCTTCTTCCTTTTTTTCTGTTTCTTTGACTTCTCTTCCGTCAGCGCGTTCACAACCAGAACGGACGAAGAGTTGAGATAAATAAATAAATAAATACTTTCTGTTCACCTCAGCGGCAAATCCTTTTTTTCCTCAAGGGGCTTTTAGGCTTGAGATCCCGCGGGACCAGCGAGTGTATCCTACAGGAGCACTTAGCCCGAACAGGAGACCCACCAGCTCAAGGCCTGCACTATATATATATGTATATACGCGACACGCACGCACACGCACACGAGATAGAGGGAGCGCATGTGATATTGCAGAGACGGGAAGGTGCGGAATGGCCAGGCGGCGGGCACACACTCCGTTTTCTATACTCGATAGCACGTTAAGCGGGGCACTGAGGCAGTGGGTGAGCGATACATTGTGACACGCGGTTTAAAAAGTCTTAATCGACTCTAAGTACTTAATTGCTTCGCGACTACACTTCCCCCCCCATTCGCTCATTCTACTTTTGGCGAGGGGGGGAGGGAACACACCCCTCCCTCGCCTTCTGTGGGAGGGAAGGCGGCCCGACGAGGCTTCGCGAAGGAGGGAAGGAGGCGAAGGGAAGAAGGGGGAGGGGACGATCGAACGAAAAGCGGCGAACGAAAACGAGCGAGAAGCTGCCGAAAGCACCCGGACAAGCCTTCCACCCACGTGCGCCAGAGCAGCAGTGTTTTGCAATATTCTCGCAAGATTGCAACCACCGCAGCGATTCGCAGAAGCAGATCCTTGTGGGTGAAGGGGGGAAGGAGGAGGAGGAGGAGGCGGGAGGGGGAGGGGAAGGAGGGGAGGGGGGGAAGGAGGAGGAGGAAGGAGGGAAGGGGGGGAGGAAGGAGAGGAGGAGAGCAGGAGGAGGAGGAGGGAGGAGAGGAGGAGGAGGAGAAGGGAGAAGGGGTCCTGTCTTGCCCGCCTCTCTCGGAAATTGTACCGCGCTGAGAGACTTAGTTCCAGGAAGCGATGCGCCCTTTTTCCCCCCGCAGTGTCGTGATTTGACGTCTTAAGGAATACTTTACAGTTAAACAGGAGACGGGCCAGTGACGTGCTCTGCGGGGAAAAGGATCATCAATGGGAACACTTCACTTGCGCGGATCAATTGCAGTGCGAGAAAGGTTAAGATGTCTTGAGGTCGTCTGTAGGTCTTCCTCATTTAGTTATTCATCTACCTACCTATCTATCTATCTATCTACCTATCTACCTCTCTGTCTACCTATCCATCTATCTATCTATCTACCTCTCTGTCTCTCTACCTATCCATCTATCTATATATCTATCTATCTATCTACCTACCCACCTCTCTGTCTCTCTACCTATCTACCTATCCATCTATCTACCTACCTACCTACCTCTCTGTCTGTCTACCTATCTACCCATCGACCTACCGACCAACCTATCTATCTATCTACTCATCTCTCTATCTATCTATCTATCATCTATCTACCCATCTCTCTATCTATCCATCTATCACCTATCTACCTATTCATCTACCTCCCTCCCTATCTACTAATCTATTCACCTTCGCGGACATCATCATAATTACCGCTCGCAACCGTTCCTTACATAAACGTGATCGGTTTGCGCGCTTTGGCCGATATATATATATATATATATCTTTTAAATCGCTTTTGCCTGACTGACAGATCTCATTACGTATGCAAGTGTCATCGCAGTACGTTAGCGATCGAAAAAAAAAAAAATATTTAAAAGCTTTAAAAATAAAATGATTTACGTGCGAAACGATGGGTAATATCCGCACCAATTTCGTTCGTCAGTATTTCTCGTATTTTGTAGATCGCCATTATTTTTTCGCGTCTTTTCCTGTGCTAATGAATGGGCTATGAAATAGGAATTAAAAATGGATGTATAAGTAACCCTATTTGAGAGAGAAGTGTTCAGGGGCGATGTAAGTGCAGACATTTATTTATTTTTGTCATTTTCTCTATTTTTCTTTTGTAATTTTCTCTCCCACACCTGGCATCCGGTCTGACCACGAATCCCCGCTGATAAAACCGTTTACGTACGATAGTTACAGCACAACTGATAAAAGAGAGAGAGAGACAAAAAAAAAAAAAAAAAAGGAGGCTACTAAATGATACAGTGGGGAATTATTCCAAAAAAAAAAAAAAAAAAATCCCTCTCTCTAACTCTAATCTCTCTTTTTTTTTCTTTTTTCTTTTTGCGTGTGTCAAGAGTGTCGGGAAATACCAAACCCAGATGGTGCAATGGCGCGCGTTTTCTTCGTGTGTGTGGGCGACCTTCGGAGGAGGAGGAGGAGGGGTAACTATCACATTTCAATATTGCACGCCCTAACCCGCTCCTGGCTTAGGACTCCTGGTGAATTCCGCGGGATTCCCTGCCTTCTCGCACTCTTCCTCTTTCGTGGATTCTTAATCATCCTTTATACTAAGAATATTTTGCACAATTCATTTACGAAAAGGAACTCACCGTCAGCACATGCAGACGAGGCCGATTCGCCACACTCCTGCATTTCACTCCCTCCCAAGGAATAAAACACCAAACACCCCAACCTTCCCCACTCCTCGCGAATTCCCCACAACCCCCCCTCCTTCCCTCTTCCCCTCCCACCCATCCCCCAAAAAGACCTAAACCCCATCCACATATCCACCCAAACAGCCGCTTTAAAAGAGACACAGAAGACCCGACATCCTCTTCACCGAAAAATCGCAACCCCGGGATGAACACTCATCCAAAAATTGCGACATGGGAGCCAGGAAATGCCCCGCACGGCCCCTCTTGGGGCGTGATTCAGCTGTGTCGGGGAGGGGTGGGAGAGGGGTGGGGAGGGGAGGAGGGGGGGAGGGAGGGGTGGAAGGGAGGGAGGAGGAGGGGTGGGGAGGGAATGGGTGGCGGGGTGGGGTGGTGGGAGGGAGAGGGGTGGGAGGAGGGAGGAGGGAAGGGTGAGGGGAAGGGTGATAGAGAAGGGGGAGGGTGGGAGGGAGGAGGAGGGAGGGGAGGAAGGATGAATAGGGGAAGGGGAAAAGAAAAGAGAAAAGGAGTGAGAAAGGTGTGTAAAGAATAAAATCGAAAGGAGAAAGAATAGGAAAGGCGCAATAAGAGAGAGAGAGAGAGAGAGAGAGAGAGAGAGAGAGAGAGAGAGAGAGAGAGAGAGAGAGAGAGAGAGAGAGAGAGAGAGAGAGAAAGAGAGAGAGAGAGGAATAAGAGACAGAAAGAGAGAAGAATAAGAGAGAGAAGAGAGAAAAATTAATAGAGAAAGAGAGAGAGGATAAAAGGGAGGGGAAGTGACCAGAGAAGCAAAAGGAGGGAGGGACGGGAAGGTGGAGGGAGGGAGGGAGGGAGGAGAGGGAGGGAGGGGTGTGTATGCTAGCAAAAGGTTGAGCGACGTTCCAGCGCGCACGCACGCACGCACGCACGTCATTAGCAAAAGTGTTCCTGGAGTTCGCCGCTGAGACACCAATAAGGGAGTCTGTGAGTCACGCCGCTCGCGCATCGCGGGGATTGAGAGGTCGTGTGCTATGCGTGGCCCCTTTTTGTCTCTGTCTCTCTTCTATCTCTCTATTTGTTGTCTATCTGTCTGTCTGTCTGTCTGTCTGTCTGTCTGTGTCTGTCTGTCTGTCTGTCTGTCTGTCTGTCTGTCTGTCTGTCTGTTCTTGTCTGTCTGTCTGTCTGTCTATCTAGTCTAGCTCTCTCTCTGTCTCTGTCTCTATCTGTCTGTCTGTCTGTCTATCTAGCTCTCTCTCTCTCTCTCTCTCTCTCTCTCTCTCTCTCTCTCTCTCTCTCTCTCTCTCTCTCTCTCTCTCTCTCTGCCTCTCCCTCTCTCTCTCTCTCTCTCTCCCTCTCTCTCTCTCTCTCTCTCTCTTCGGTCTCTCTTCTCTCCTCTCTCTCTTTCTCTCTCTATCTATCTGTCTCTTCTTATCTTCTATCTCTCTCTCTCTCTTTCACTCTTTCTTTGCCTTTATTTCTCCTTCTTTTTTCTTTCCCCTGTCATTCCTTTTCTCGCTTTCTCTTTCTCTTCTCTTCTCTCTCCTCTCCTCCCTCACCCTCTCCCGTCACCTATCAAATCAACACAACTTATTCAAACTTATTTTCCCCTTTACCTGTAGCCAACTGCAAAGGTAATTATATATCATTAGTAATAATTACTTTGCTTTCCCAGTCAGGAGATCCCCGTTCATACAAAGATAAAAATTACCCACGAAAAGAAAAAGAAAAAGAAAAAAAATGTTGCATAGTAACATTGTAACTAACTGCCGTGTCCGTAGGTTTGGGAATTTCGCCCTCTTAACGCCCCTCTCTCTCCTCCCTCTTTCACCCTTTTCTTCTCTTCCTCTCTTCTTTCTTTCATCCCTCTCCTCCCCCTTTCTATTCTTTTCTCTTCGTTTTCCACCATTTTTACTTTTCACTTTTATTGCCTCTTCTCCTCTCTTCTTCTACGTCTTTATCTCCCCCTCATACCACCAACACTTCCTCCTCCTCCTCCTCCTCCATCCTTTTCCTTCTTCCTCCTCCCTCCCCTCTTCCTCCTTCTCCTCCATCCCTTCTCCTTTCCTCCTCCCCCTCTCTCTCCTCCTCCATCTTTCTCCTTCCTTCGCCCCTTCCTCCTCCTCCATCCTTTCTCCTTCCTTCCCCCTCCCTCCTCTCTTCCCTCCCTCTCTCTCCTCCTTTCCTCCATCCTTTTCTCCCTTCCTTCCTCCTTCCCTCCATCCCTCCCTCCTCCCTCCTCGTCTCCTCCTTCTCCTCTCCCCCCTTCTCCTCTTCCTTCCTCTCTCCTCCTCCCCTTTCCCTCCATGCCTTTTCCTCCCCCCCATCCCTCCTCTCCTTCCCTCCTCTTCCTCCTCCTCTCCTCCTCCTCCTCTCCTTCCTCCTCCTTCCTTCCTCCTCCTCCTCCTCCTCCTCTCCTCCCTCCTCTCTCCTTCCTCTCCCCCCTTTCCCCTTCCTTCCCCCTTCCTCCTCCTCCATCTCCTTCCTTCCCCCCCCTCCCCTCTCCTTCTCCCTACCCTCCTCTCCTCTCCTCCCCATCCTCCTCTTCCTCCTCCTCTCTCCTGCCATCCTTTCTCCTTCCTTCCTCCTTCCTTCCTCCTCCTCCTCCATCCTCTCTCCTTCCTCCTCCCCTTTCCCCTTCCTTCCCCCTTCCTCCTCCTCCATCCTTTCTCCTTCCTTCCCCTCCCTCCTCCCTCTTCCTCCTCTCTCCTCCCCCTCCCCCCTCCCTCCTTTCTCCTCCCCCCTCCCTCCTCTTCCTCCCTCCTCTCTCCTCCTCCTCCCTCCATTCCTTTCTCCTTCCTTCCCCTTCCTCTTCCTTCTCTCCTCTTCCTCCTCCTTCTCGCCTCAATTATGCCTCAAT